AAAGTATATTGCTAAAATTAATATTTAAGATTTTATTAAAAAATTAGAGTTTAAAAAAATGAATGCAAGCAAATTTGACTGTGTTACAATTTAAGGGATAATCTTGTACATAATTTCCTTTATGTAAATAAAAAGTAAATAAAGCTATTTTTAACCATAATAAGCAAACCTTAATTATTATAATATATACCCTACGTATAATAGTATAAATCTGAATTCATACCAATACCTGCATAACTAATAATCGTAGAATCTAAAATTAACCCAGTTGATCCAAAGATATAAACCATTAGTTCTAAAATTCTATAGTGCATAAAATACTCAGTGTACGAAAATAGTGGTAAGATTATTCTTGCATGCTTATAGTCTAAGCTAAATTCGGCAACAAAGTTTGGAAGTCTCTTCCCAGACTGTAACATTTTGGTGCTGATTGTGTTGAATGAATTGTTTTTGTTAATACTGCTCCAATTAATTATACAGAATAAATAAATAAAAAAAATAATAAAATTTTATAAATACCTATAAATTAATAAAATGTAGAGAAATATGCTTAATAATACACTATTGAATAACAATAATAATAACAACACAGTAGTGAATAATGAGAATTTATGTAAAAATAATAAATCCATAAGAAATGATAACCATCTTGAAGAACAAAATTAACTGAATAATCTTGATCAACATGACAAACTAAATTAGCCTACTTTATGACTATTGCAAGTTATAGTCGATGTATTAGCCTAGCATCAAGGACCTCGAATAGAAGCAAGAGAACAAAATATAGTGAATATATTTACCTACAGAGAAAATAATCAAGATCCCATTGAATAGTTGGACGCTATAACTAGGACATTTGAAGCTAATAATATTCATAAGATAAGAAGACTTGCTATTGTAAATACACACTTGACTGGTTTGGCTGCACTCTGGTGAGAAAGACAAAAGGATAGAATTCAGTATTGGCACAATGAGTGTGCGCAAGATCAAAGTTTTGTCCATCAGTTCTGGCAGATATTCTGTATACAAGTTCTAATCAACTAATAGAATACTAAATTATTGTCCAAGTATCAACAAGTAGGAGAAACAGTAGATCAATATGCATCAGATGTGTTGGTATTGTTCAATTGTATAACAAGAGTAGAAAACCAATATTCTAAAATAATAAAAGCACAAATGTTTGTGCAGAGACTCTGTTCAGATTTCGCATTAGCTGTTAGACTATTTATGCTGAATTTACTACAAAAGGCAGTCGAAAAGACTAGAATATATGAAATGATATATTCATATGGTTTGGCCATATGCGGTTCTGCTACAATATATAATAAAGTAGTTAGTGCGGTTATTTTTCTGCAAATATATCAGACTGTACCTCCTCTAGTACAATCATCAGTAAGTAACCTCGCAAAGCAAATAGTTACTTTACTGCAAAAAGTTGTTTACGCAGTATGAAGCAATAACAATAATAATAATTGGCCTACCCTTCTTTAAATTCAACCTGACAAGAAAGAATTGGTCATACTCTGATATGTTTTACTTGTTAATAACCTAAACATTACGCAAGAGAGTATCTGAATAATAATTATAATCCCAATATTAACAACCAGCCTAGAGTAACCATGACCTCTCAAAACATTCTAAGCATGGATAGAGAAAGAATAACCGAAATGAACTCTTAGCTCCAAATGATGGTAGCACAAATAGAATAAGACCTTGAGCATTTAAACTGAAAGACACACCCTTAGAGAGTGAATATGTGTCAGCAAATACAAATTCCTTAGTAGATGAAATGATAGAAGTATATGCTATGAAAAAAAAAGAAAAGCAATACTAGAAAAGCCATAGAAGTCGATGATCCACTGGGTGAAGAAGACCCTGAAAAAAGAGACGATGAACCTTCCAGAAGAAAGATAGTTCAGAAAAAAAAACTAAACCAATAGACTCGTCGATAATCACGAATATCTAACCTTATTCTGTAATGACAGATCTTCAAAATAAAAAGGCTGATATAATATATGATAGCTGTCTAGACAGCTCTGAATATTAAAAAAGAAGCATTGAGAGTACTGCGCTCGAGAAGAACCACCAAAGCAAAATTTGTTAAATTTTGCTTAAATCAGAATGATGATTCTTATACTACCTCTATATATTGTGAAGTCCAAGTCAATAATGAACCAATCATTTTATTTTTAGATAGCAGATCTTTTGGTTGTGTCATTTTCGCTAGATTCTTAAAAAAGTAGAAGTTCAAATCAATCGCCCGTTTACTATTATGATAATAAGAGTTCATAGTAAACAAAAAAGGCCACTTGAAGAAATTGACAAGTTTCTAATTATTGTGGGAGAAAAAACAATAACATTATGACCATAGTTATAGAAGCCAGAAATTATGCTATTATAGTTAGCAATAATTGAATGAAGAAGGCTCGAGCCCAATTGGATTAGGAAGCTTGTGAATTAATGATTAGGAATGGCAATAAGAAGATAAGGGTTCTTACAGAATATTGTAAACCGGCACATATTAGTGATCATATAGTAAAAAAACTAGTTATAAGAAAAGAAAAAAAAAGCAAGATGAAGAAGATTCAGATAACGATATAGAAGATGATAACAAAAGTAAGAAAATGAGTTTCAATAATGAAGATGAATATAAAGAAGAGGATCTTGTAGCCCAAACTTACTTTTATTGTAATTTCCAACCTGTAGGAGAGGAAGATAAGGTCATGTATGAATAGTGCCTAAAATGAGAGCATTGTTAAAATGAATGTGTATTACGAAAAAAGTTTGTTGAATCAACTATATGCCTTGTGCGAGAAAAAGAAAAAAAGGAAGCTTTAATTTTGGAAATATGACAGAAGCCCGAGAAAAGCAAATAAAAGAGGTACTAAATAAGTACCAAGATATTTTTAACTGGAAACCCAGAAAATTAAGAAAAATGATGGTTGTTTAATATAAGATCTATGTGGAAAAAAGGCCCTCAATAAAACAGTGATTTTACTCTACTTTTAAGATAGAGCATGAATTTATTAGACAAGAAATCCGATGACTGAAGAAAGTAGGGTTAATTCACCTGTCTAATAGTCTGTAAGCCTCACTAGTTGTTTTTACGAAGAAGAAAAATGAAAAATTACAGTTTTGTATGAACTTTCAAAAGTTGAGCAAGAGAACTAAGCAAAACAGTTATCTACTTTCCCATATTAATGAGCTACTAGGAGCTCTCAAAAATTCTACTTAGTACATTACCTTGGATCTCGCGAGTGAGTTCTGGCAAGTAGAAATACACTCCTGTGACTGTAAGAAAACAGCATTCACTATGAAGTTTGGGTTTTATAAATTTGTAGTGATGCTATTTGGCTTAACAAATGCGGTTGCCATATTATAACAGTTGATGGACTGGGTTCTCCAAAAAGAAATATAGAATTTCATTTTGGTGTACATCGATGATATAAATATATATTTCCTGATTTAAAAATATTTTGAACATGTGAACATGATCCTTAGAAGATTGCATAAAGCAAACTTAAAGTTGAATCCTGACAAATGTTTTTGGGAACAAAGTAGGATTTCGTTCCTGGGTTACAATATAAGTAGAGAAGGAATTGCTGCTGCAGAATCAAAGGTTACTGCTGTAAGAGAGTTTTCAAGGCTGAAGGATCTATGAATATTGAGAAGATTTTTGGATCTTGCAGGTTATTACCGTAAGTTTATTAAAGATTTTTCTAAAATAGCAGCTCCCTTAAATAAGCTATTGAAAATGGAAGAAGCTTATAAATAGAAAAGAAAACAAGAAAACACATTTAAAGAATTAATAGATGATTTACCAGTCATCTGAAGAGCTATGTGATGCAGGTTATACAAGATTCATATATAAATTATATATAAAATCTTCAAATAGTAAATATAGAGATTTTTTAAAGA